CCCTTACTTCTCCCAGAGACTGTAAAAGAGGCGCACTAATATGATCTCTAGTGACACGGTGGCAGAGGTCATTTCGGGGGGGATCGCGGGGGATCGCAGTTCCCCCGGGTGAGGTATGGGGGCGGGGCACATTACAAAGCCCCACCCCCTGCTTCCAGCCGCCCCACTTCTGGCCCTCATTCAGCCAGGAGGAGGCAGGAGAAGAGGGAGGGTAAGTTGCTTCCTCCCTGCCTCTCCCCACCCCTGCCTGCCTGGGGCCAGGGAGGGCCTTCGCGGGGCTTCCTTGCACTCCTGCCGGCTGGGAACGTTGGGGGCAGGGTGTGTGGCCTTATGACACACTTCTGGAGATGTCAGGGGGTGTGGCCTTATGACACACTTCCGGTAATGTCAGGGGGTGTGGCATATGCTAATGAGTTATGCTAATGAGTTCCCCTAGCTCTTTTTCTACGAAATGACCCCTGCACTGTGGTATGAGTCAAGGTCACTGAAGCTGCAACAGGATTTGGGATTGTGACTGAACCTAGCACTAGTCCTTGCATTGACCTTAAGACCCTACCACTCAATCCTATGAAGAGCTGTGCTGCTGCAGCAGCATTCCATCTGCAATCCTAACACACACACACTTCAGTTAGGGCAGGTGTCCATGGGGACCACGGTGCCTGCAAATACCTTTCCTGGTGCCCAGCACCAAGTGTTTTTAGAAAGTGGGAGGGGACAGTTGGGGCTTTTGCCTGACAAGGCTTCTGATGGGCCACTGGAGATTTGATTAACTGTGCGGATTTTTAAAAACATTGCCTTGGCAGCAGCTGCCCCCACAGCACAAGGATCTGTGCTGTGTAAATGAAGGTAAGCTGAAGCAAACATTTTGTGGCTGCCTCCACCTCCTGTGGCAGCTATTTTGTGACAGCCTTTTTGTGGCTGCCCCCACCATGGTCTGTCAGAATAACAACGGTGCCCACAGGCTTAAAAAGGTTGTGGACCCCTAAGTTAGGACTCTGGAGTTTTTAAAGAATCATAGTTTCCAAGGGTGTACCTGCTGGTGGGGATAGTACAGAGCAGTGCCAGTTTTTCATCTGCACTGAAGTTGCCTAGTGTAGAATACATCTGTTAGGTCTTGCCTACACTGAAACCTGGGGAACCTGTGATCAGTTCAGTGTGGCAATGAAGCCAGTGAAAAGATACTCACACAGATGTGTACACAAAGATCCCTTTCTCACTAAAACAACCCCATTACTCCTCTTCAATGCACAGAGCCTCTCCCACCAAAGCTGTTCACTCTGCTGATCTGTATTAGCTCCTAGTCTTCCCAGCTATAGCCAAACCCCTGCTTCTTTCCTTCTCAACAACCTCTCTGGAGGATATCAGTTATGAGTGGTCTGCATAACCATACTCAAGCTGGGGGGGAAATTGTTATTAAAAGTCCCAATATACTATTAAAGCATCCTTAAAATGGACAATATCTATTAAATAAAGCACTGCAAACTTTTGCATGACATTCGTAAACCTTATTGCATTGGCTCAAAGCCTTAGCAAATAACACCAAAATGACAAAAGCAACACCAAAACCATACAGCAATTGCAATAGCAATTAAACCCTTAATATCAATTTCAGATCTATAAACAGTTTTAAAATTGGGACAACAATTTAAGTTAAAAACAAGAAGAATTCAAGAATTCAATCAGCAGCCCTGTAGCTAGGGAATTTTGGGGGAGGGGGCCTCAGGTGGGGCGCCAGCTAATTAAATCAAAGCACAATGCAGATGGCAAGTTGGGACACTTTGGGGGCAGCCCAGGAAGGAGGGGGCCCAGAAGAAAGACTAGGAGGCTGGGCCCCGTGGGCCCCACGGTAGCTACGGGCCAGTCAATCAGTCAGACAACATAATGCGAAGATTTATCCATTGGCCACATTAATAGTGGTAGCTTTTAAAAAGATCTTTACCACTTGTGCAAACAACTTTGCCATTTGCAGCATTACCCATTTACTTTCATCAGCAAGCAATACAATTAGTCTGTCACTTTCTGCTCTCCCTGGATATTGTAATAAAATATTTCCAAGATATATTTTGTGTTCAAATGCAAATCATGGGCAGTAGAGGGCCACATGGCATAGATCCTCAATAGATTTCTGGTCGCAACTGCAGACATGTGTTTTGTATGGGATCCCATTAAAATGACCTCTTAATATTGCCAGTTGTAAAGTATCCAACCGTCGTTTGGTAAATGCTTTCCAAAGCTCTGATTTTGATAAATTGGTAAAATAAGGCGGAAGGGTTAGAGGGGAAGGTGCAAAGTGCTTGTAAAGGGGAGATTCTCAAGGTACTCAACAGTGCAGCATCCATCTGAACACTTATATCTACCAGTCTTTGTTTTATTAATTCTTCTGCTGCAAAAATGTCAAGCCCTCTTAAATAATCTTATGAAAATCTAAGTTTGGCTACCAAGTTCAATGTATAACTTCACCACAGATTACTTTTATTTCCAGACAATATCTGATAATAGCTTTATGGGCTGAGGCTAATGGCAACAGAGCCAGTTCCGATCTACCATGGCTGCTGGTACTGAGTTAGGGACTGCTAATAGCATACAAATAAACTTATTTATTTAGTTATTTATTATTTACATTTTTATCCCGCCCTCCCCGGAGGCTCAGGGCAGCTTGATGACATTAAGACTCAAGCTCAAAGACTATATAGACAGCCACAGTAACAAAAAGTAGGTAAAGTCAGCAATCCACAGCCCTCATCACCCACATGCTTGTTAAAAAAAGAAAGAAAAGAAACAACACATAAATCAACAAACAAGCTTTGACTTGCTTGTTTTCCTGGGCACATAAAACGAGAAGGGCATATAGGATGAATCAAAGCAGAGCAAACCATCTGTTTTCCAGGTGCAGATAAACTAGAGATCTAAACTAGAGATCTATTCATGATAAACTAGAGATCTATTCATGATAAATTCATGATAAACTAGAGATCTAAACCTTTCTTTACCAGCACAGATTGTACCTCAGCATGTTGTTGTTCAGTCACACAGTCGAGTCCAACTCTTCGGGACCTCATGGACCAGATCAGGCCAGGCCTTCCGGTCTTCCGCCGTCCTCCGAAGTTTGCTCAACTTCATGTTCGTTGCATCGATGACACTGTCTAACCATCTCATCCTTTGCCGTCCCCGTCTTCTTTGACCTTCAATCTTTCCCAGCATCAGGGTCTTCTCCAGTGGGTGCTCCCTTCTCAAGAGTCTTCTCCAGCACCATAGTTCAAAAGAATCTATTCTTTGGCGCTCGGCCTTCCTTATAGTCCAACTCTCGCAGCCATACATGACTACTGGGAATACCATTGCTTTGACCATGCGGACTTTTGTTGGCAGGGTGATGTCTCTACTTTTTATCATGCTGTTTAGGTTCGCCATCGCTTTCCTCCCAAGGAGCAGGCGTCTTTTAATTTCATGGCTGCTGTCACAGTCTGCGGTGATCTGGGATCCCAGGAACGTGAAGTCTGTCACCACTTCCACGACTTCCCCTTCTATTTGCCAAGGAGTGATGGGGTCGGATGCCATGATCTTAGTTTTTTTGATGTTGAGCTTCAAGCCCAGTTTTGCGCTCTCCTCTTTTACTCTGAGCAGGAGGCTCTTTAGGTCCTCTTCACTTTCTGCCATTAGAGTGGTATCGTCTGCATATCTGAGGTTGTTGATCTTTTCCCCAGCAATCTTAATTCCGGCTTGTGATTCATCCAGGCCAGCATTTCACATGATGTTGCTCCTGCCAACCTAGCAGTTCGAAAGCAAGAAATTGCAAGTAGATAAATAGGTACCACTTCGGTGGGAAGGTAACAGCGTTCCGTGCGCCTTGGTGTTTAGTCATGCCGGCCACATGACCACGGAAACGTCTTCGGACAGCACTGGCTCTTCGGCTTTGAAACTGAGATGAGCACCGCAACCCTAGAGTCGGATTCGATTGGCTTTCGAGCAAGGGAACCTTTACCTTTACCTTTACTCTGCATATATATTAAATAAGCAAGGTGACAATATACATCCTTGTCGTACTCCTTTTCCTATGCTAAACCAATCAGTTGTTCCATATCCGGTTCTAACTGTTGCTTCTTGGCCCTTATACCTCAGCATGCCACAGCTCAAATGACTACAGAATGCTTTGTAATGCTATGCCAAACTGACATCTGCAACCAGGACAAATCAATCAAACTACTAGTCTGTTGCAAGGCACAATGCTTTGCAGGCTTCAGAATAAAGGGATGCCACAGCCATCTGCTCTGTAGATGCCTGAACTGGAAAATGATCTCAGCATGCAGCTAAAGGAAAGGCAAGAGAGACAGCGAGCAAGTGAATGAGCAGGTAGCTGCTTGTCACTTGCACAAAGGGCATGGGCAGCAAGAAGATGAGCCCACTGAAAGAGGGTAAGATCTCTTAAGGGAGACTTGCCCAAGGACTCTTCAAACTCTGCTGCCAGTAATAATAGTTTCACTGGACGTGAAGAAATGCACAAGGTAAACCAAATCACCATAGTTCTCTAAAATAGGAGGAACCAAAAGCCACAGAAAGATTGCATCTATCCAGTGAACACTCCTCTTTCACACCAAATAGTATGCTTCTGTCTTATTCTGACTTCAGAGGGTGGGGTGGGGTGGGGATCCCAGACAGAGCAAACTGAGATTTGTTTTACATTCTGACCGAAGACTGG